ACTTTGATTGACATTCTCCCTTTGTACATTATCAGCCCCGCCCACTAGTGACCATCTCTCCCTCATTAGCATATTACTTTAGTCTTGATTTTGAATCTGCCACTATGCTGACACACAGGCGTTTGTAGCTCCGCCCTCTTTAGAAAAGAGCACAATCTCATTTGAATTTAAAGCGACAGTCACCAAAACGCAACAAGAGTTATAAAACATTAGTGTGGTATGCTGTAATTTCACAAACACACACACACACTCTGGGGACATCAGAGACTTGCATCTTGTCAAAAGGGGGCGTAATATGTGCCCTTTAACATTTACCAACATGAGATTAAATCTTGCATCACAGAATGCATTGCACTTGATAAGGAATAAAACATTTTTATTCGCCATTCACCGTTTGATCAGACCGACATTAGATTAAAAATGCACATAAGAGTATTTATTTACGGGATGATAATTAGATTCCAGCCTTTGAATTAAACATGCAACATAATGGGGTCATGTAACAACATGCAGTGTACTGCTGATTGATTATTTAACACTGCATGGGGCATTCGGTTTCACAAACTACTTTTAAATAATATCAGACGCATGGTCTTCAATATTTGAAATTTTAAACTCAGCCTTCAATTTAAGAATTCAACCAAATTCGGAAATGGCTATTTTTGGAGTAGCAAATGAGGACATCCATGTAGCCAATGAAATAGAAAACACCTTTGCCTTTGTAACATTAATAGCTAGAAGAAGAATTCTTATGGAGTGGAAATCACCAATGCCACCTAAACGGTCACTGGCTTAGTGATGTAATGCTGTTTTTTGAACAGAAAAAATTAAATATTTTCTCAGAGGATCAACCAAAACATTTTTCAAAACATGGGACCGTCTAATATTTCATATTGAGACTAATGTACTCCTCCAACCATAAATTCCCAACCCCTCCCCCACCCACCGTATTTTTATTTATTTTTTTGTTATTTTTTTATTTTATTTATAATTTTTTTTTTGTAAATTTATTTTTATTTTATTTTCATTTTTATTATTATTAATATATTTTTTTATTTAATGCATTTCCTTCTCATAAAAAATTTTATTATGTTAATTTGTCTCTTTTTCAAATTTAAGTATGTTTAAAAAAAAGAAAAAAAGAAAATACCTTTGTAATTAAATACCTTTAATGTACTGTACCTTTTTTTCAAAAACACAATAAAATAAATAAATTTAAAAAAAATAATAATAATATTTTTAAAATAATAATAATAATAACAGACGCTATGAATTAAGATGAGGGATTTTCGCCTTGTTTTTTATGTTCGTTAAAGCTGCAATTATGTTGTATGCAATGTTACTGCAATAACTAATACTGCTGTCTATACGAATACTTTATAAAATGTAATTCATTACAGAGATGTAAAGCTAAATTTAATTGCTCACTTTAGCTGAACATAGTTGTCTGAGCTCACCTGGAAATTCCAGATTTATTTTGTTTGGCAATAAAATAAATAAAATATCAGAAGCATTACTGCGGTTTCAGTGTCACATGATACTTTAGAAACCAATTCATATACAATGTAAAACCCAAAAAGTCAAGGTAACTCAAACCATTACAGGAAACCGATTGCAAAAAAAACATTTAAGTTCAAACACTAATCCTAATGAGTACTCAGGGTTCAACGCTAAGGATTTTTTATACTGGTCCGATAGGGCCAGTGGTTCAGATTTTCACTTGCCCTACCAAATTTTCACTGGCCCCACCAAAAAAAAGGGAAGTTAATAGCTATTTTATGCCACATATTTTTAATAATGTGTCAAAAATAAAGTGAATCTAGAATTTCAATACTTGAAAAACATGTTAATAAAAGTGTTTTCCAAACAAAAAGAACAGTGGAAAATGTGAAGGTATTTTATTGTGGTTCGAAATTATTTAACAAAAGGTGGCCGACATGTCAAACTGATGGCAAACCGTGCAAAACATCACTTTTTTTCATTTTTTTTAATCACTTTTGTTTGTCGCATTGTTCACACATAAATGTCTGCTTCCAAGACGTTAGAAACAGACATTTTCTTTTAGCCTTATAATTTGATCTTGCCTCCATGTTGCCGTTTCTTCGCTGTACTGGCTGTTATCAGGTTACGGGAAAAAGTTGCATGCTCAAAACATCAAATCAGACAAGAGGAACCAAAAAGCAATATGGTGTTTACGACATCACAGAGAAGGTAGTGTTTAAAGACTAAACTTAAAATGCACGCAATTGACAAATAGTCGCAGACCAATTAAATGTTAGTGACAAGGCAGCACTGTCCCAATCAGGCCAGTAATTATCCTGTCTACTGTCCCAAGCGTCTCTCACACTGGCCCTGGGCCACCGGGCAGTCCTTATTGTTGAGCCCTGGTACTGTAAACTTAATCTATTTAAGAAAACAAAGCAATTTGATACAGTAAAACCCAATAAATAGAGAGCTCAAACAGAGTACTATAAAACTCAATAAGTTAAGTCCATTCAAACCGTTTGAGGAGACAGATAGCAACAAACCATGAGTTAAAAACCTGATCTATACGAGTACTGCGAACTTACTACATTTAAGTTGAAGTAATGAGGTAATTAATTAATAGAATTATTTATTATTATCTATTAATCATCTATTAATGATTAATAGAATTAACTTTCAGTCAATTTTGAGTTAGATACACTCAATTCATTTAATAAAGTTGACTGATTGGTTTTACAGTGTGGTGAATAAGAAACATTTATTACTCTCAGTGTTAATACCAATAACTCACTCGCCTTGTCTTCGGCTCAGTCCCTGACTTAGTCTGGCATATGTTTTATGCAGAGGAGTCCCTTAACCCAGCACTGGGAAACACCCATACATGTATATACAATACTGCTGAAAATACCTGTGCTGCTTCATGTTATTTGGACCTCTTTTTTGCATTGTCATGCTTAATCATTTTAAGGAATATTTGATGATTAAAATATTAAGGGTGAAAAACATTCAGAGAGAGGTCAGATGAAGTTTAGCACAGGAGAATGAATTTTACATGGATGAAATAAGGACCTTTTAGGATAGGATTGTAGCATGCTTTAATTAAACATTAGCATTCTGCATAAAATCATCTAATTCACACACTTCTACACCCTGCCATCATCATAAAAAAACTCACCTAGAAGACCAAGAATCTACACTGATAATATCTGTGTTTTATTTTAAATGCTTGTACTTGTTAATGTACATGATGAACTCTGATTGTTGTTTGTAACCATTCAGCAGCTGGAAAAAAAATGTATTTGAAAGTGGTTTAAATGACATGGTTTCTCTATTGCCTATCATCAAATCTGAGGTGTGAGCCATATCTTTACTTGCATAGTTATTACCTTTGATGATGTAAATTGAAATTAAAGAGATCATTCACACAAAACAAAAATGTGCTGTTTAAGTTTGGACTCATCCTCTGTCAAAATAATAAATAAATAATAAAGCATGCAGAACTGAATTACATCTGTCGCTCTTATTAAGCAAAACGTTCAGCTTGTACATTACTGTTGTAATAATGAAGCTGAAACTGTGGATTTAACACATGCGCTATAGGTGCACAGATGATAGTTTCTAATTCAGTGACTCTATAGCCCCTTTCACACAGTGATACCGGTAAATATCTGGAAAATTTCCGGAACGACTTTACCGGTATATTCAAAAAAGCGCTGTTCACACAGGCGAGGACGTTACGGAAATTTTCCAGAAAGAGCATTCACACATCCATTCCAAAATACCGGTAAATTCTGACATCATTCACCACAAATGAGCTTTAAACGGCTGCGCTTGTGTTTGCAAACATTTGACTAAATTACAAACTCTGTGGATGATCAATATTGTGAACAACTTTCGCAGGATCACTTTCGCATGTCGAGATGTTCATAATATGTGTGTGTGCAGGCGCTCACAGGCTGTTTCACAGGCACACGCAAAGCTTGAAGGTAAACAAACAACGGCTTATCATAAGCATCTCATCGATGATTATTTACACAGTTGGCATTAAGAAGAACATATAAACGTGATCTGACTAACTTCTAGCAGCTGAATGTGTCTTGAAAAATATTCAAAGGCTTTTATTCTCATAAACCGCGCGCACGTAAATGCGTCTGACTGTTGTGATTGGCTAAAGCAGACGTCTCACGTCAGCACGTTCTAGACGTGCACGCGCTTATTACGGCAATCTTCCTTCTGCATTCACACAGCGCAGCATTCCGGCAAATTGCCGGTAATGTTACAACTTCTCTTTCCGGAAAATAGCCAGAACGAATTTACCGGTATTTTTAAAAAGGACCTGTTCATACATACAACCTTGGAAAGGTCTGTATGTGTGAAAGGGGCTAATGTTTCATCACGAGTCACAGGTATTCATTTTGCTTGGCCAGTATATTTTTTTGGACTCTCAAACTATTGAATTTATTAACCAGAGCTAAAAGAAAATCATCTTAAATGATTCAATGAAGAATAAATTACATATACTCAGAGATCCTCCTTTTAAATTAATGTTTGTATCGGATTTTTAATAATATTTGTGCATGTACACTAGATTAGTCAGTAGCAAAGCCAAAACTGCAACTAATCTAACACAAAACTGAAGACCGCAGTCCAAAAAAAAAAAAGTACACCCAAATTAATATGTTGGGGGTAAATAATAAATAAAATTGCAATAAATAAGAAACATAAAAATATAAAACTTTGTTAAAATTGTATAGTTATAACAAACTCATTTGATAATGAATGTAGCATATTTTTTCTATTTCTAAAGATGTTTAGTGAGCAAACTCTTATTTTAATAATTATAACTGTTTAATAAACCATTTTGTTTTATTGCCCCAAAAATATTGTCTATAATCACTGAGAAATGGATAGAAATATGAATTTAACAGTAAATAAACACGTGTTTTTGTTTTGTTTTTGAGTGATTTATTGATACTATTAATACAGCAAAACAAACCACAACAAGCAATCTGTACCTGATTTTGGACAGTTGTTTGAACTCCAGGCCTGTGCATGCGGTGTGTCCGTCTGTCATCTGCACCCGCAGCATTCTGGGTGCCGCCTGCGACTCCTCGTGGTCTTTAGATGCGGCGACATTACGAATCTTCTGCACCTGCAGGACACACGGACCCTCCAACTGTGGGAGAAACACATTCGCCATCACAAAAGAGAAACGAGCAACTTAAACAATGGAGATAATGAAGCACTTGAACATGTGGTTTTAAATAATTGTCACCGAAAAATCAGCAATCAGCAATCATTATGCAGTAGTAAAATCACATCGATTTAGATGAATAACTCTGATTCTGTCTTTATTATGTCTCTTTCTTTCTTTTTTATTCCTTTAAAACACATTTTAATCTGCTTTAAATATTTTTATTTGTTGTTTCCATTTTAAATGTACATTATTTTATTCTTGTTTAAGTAAAGCACTTTGAATTACCACTGTGTATAAAAAAATGCTATTTAAATGAACTTGCCTTCCCTATAGTGTCCTCTGCTATTGGTTTCTTTAATAACAGCGCCATCTAGTGGACATCATTACCAAGTGCATGAAATGTATTTATGGTAACTTTATTTGTTATTTAGAAAATGTACAAATAATTCAGGATTGAATCTGTGAAGAACATGAATACAAGAAGGATATCAATACCTTATGAAATAAAGTGTAAAAAAGAATAACACAAATACAAATTGTTACCATTTATAATGACAAAAGTAAATACCAATAAAAGTCAGAGAAAGTAGATTTAAATTAAAAGTAATAAAAAGCAATAAAAGTTAACTTGCTGGAAGAAGCATGAGGTTTTCATATAATTCTTTTTGCTTGAAAAATGTTTTGTTATTAGATAAATGTATGGCTTTAAGCAGTGAGTCAATTTCAATGAAGAAGTGAGGAGGAAGATGTCTGCTTAATTTCTATCATTTTAGACGGGGTCGAGCTGGGAAAAGGCTTGCACGGTTAAATGAACAGTCATGTGATTCAATTCAATTAGTGGAAGAAAGTAATCAAATCATTTGTTTTTGCGTTGTGTGCAAAGGTGAAACTAATGATGACTGAGGCGCCAAAAAGAGCAAATTATGCGGAGTGGGAAAATGTACAGCAAGCTGACAGTGGAAATGGCCAGCAGCAGCAGCAGCAGTGAAAGGCTGTTCAGTGCTGCTGGATGCACAATCAGTAAGCGCAGCTCCACGCTAAAGCCATCTACAGTGAATTCAATAATCTAAGCCTAATCTTGGCGAGTAAAGGGTTTTTCAAATTATGACTAAATATTATTTAATCAAAAATGCATATTGTAGACAGAGTATACAGGCTAATGTTGATATTATTCTTTTAATATTCAGTGGCGAAAACAAATCCCACAGAGCCTTTATTTTTATTTTGTTTTAGCCAAATACCCGTCATAATTTAAAATTTATTTATTATTATCGCTATTATTATTATTATTATTATTATCATTTCTCTTTTTTATTATATATATATTTTTTTGTTATTATTTTTTTTGTCTCTTTTGTAAAAAAAAAGAAAAAGAATGATATGCAACTGTACTGATGTAATGTTTGTTTTTTCACAATAAACAATTTAAACATAATTTAAATTTTATTTTAATCTAATTTGTTAGGAAAGACTTATTTTTATTGGTGTGTTGGCCAATTTAAAGGCTAAGTGTGTGTACCGAGGCCTATTTAGAGTGCTGAGATGTTACGATGTTACAGTGGACTTATTTTAATTTTATTTCTTTGTTCCAACTACTAAGTACCCTATAACCTACATTTGTTATGAACAAATAAATGTTAAAATGCGTATAAACGATTAACAAAAGGCAAAAGAGCCGTGTCGGGCTGTAAACGTCATAATGTCGGCCTGTAAACAGGTTTGTGCTTTTAAAAAGCAGTCAGTCAAAATTTACTTGTCGGGCTCAGGCCCTTTTGGACCTAACTTTTATGACCCGATTACAGCTCTAGTCAGTTTATGAATAAAATGTTTTCCATATATAAAAAATCATATGTATTCATCATTTTTATTTTTGGGGTTTATAGAAACTTGCGGATTAACTTGGAGTTGCAATTTAAAGACACAGTCGACCCAAAATGTCAATTCTGTCATAATTTATTCATCCTCAAGTGGCTCCAAACCATTATAAGATTCTTTCTTCTGTTCAAAATAGAAGATATTTTGAGAAATGTTGAAAACAAGCAGCCACTGACATCTACAATAAAAAAATCATAATACTACAGAATTCAACGGCAAGAGATTCCCAATATTATCTAATATGATTTATTATAAAATAATATAATTGTGTATTAGGCAAACACAAAAAAGCCAACTTTTATAAATATGCAACTGTTATCTATCCTACAAACACTAGCCTCATGATTAACAAGTCAGGTAAAAAAAATAACTGAATTTTAAGAATTACTGAATATTTGAAATGTAATGTACACCAGAAATGATTATTTGAATAAGCAGATATAGATACACTGATGCAGATATATATAGTACACCTGAGGTGTTCATTATTTTCTAATTAATTCAATGAATTAATTAATTAATTAGTTAATTATTCTACTTATATTACGGTTCCAAAACCACTGTTCAGCAGTGTTGGGAATAACGGCGCTTTAAATAAAGAGCGTTACTAACCGAGATACTTTTTTCAGTAACGAGTAATCAAATAAATTTATTTATATTTTATTTAATTTAACTTTAATTACTCTTTTAAAGGAACGTACCCAACACTGCTATTCAGATGTTGTATTTCAGACATTTGTCAGGTTTTTATCCTCAAACTGCTCCTGTGTTTTGCAAGTTTCTTCCACATCTCCTCCGAAGCCTTCCGTTTTGATGTGAATTTTGACTGTTGTAGCTGTGAAATAACTCAAATCATTCAGTGTAGTGAAATAGAGCTATAAAGCACTCAAAAGCTGCCGGAACTACTTTAGCTGTGCAATTATCTGAAAATAAATGCACACCTTAGATTGCTCATGAGCCAATCAGAATCAAGCATGCAGCAGCTCTTAGTTCAAGCTATGTTTCATCCACAAATGTACCTTTTCTATCCGTCCGCTGTTGATGTCCGCTGGGAGAAAGCTCTTCCCGATGGGTCTCAGATCATTCTGTGGATTACATAATAGTATTATTTATTGTCAATTATACAATGGTATTATCTGTTTATTGAGGTGTGACTGATTCTATGGTGAGCCGAAACTCAAATATACATCATCCCAGATGGACAAAGACATGTTATGTAAGAAACTTATTGATATACATTGACATTGTCAAAATAAAAAGGATAAAAGTGTTTCTTAAAGCGCTTACGTTTAGTGCTACTTGTATGATGTCAGTGGGTGATGTTTTCTCCTTCTCTGAAGAACTTTTACACTCCTCGATTCCTTCATCTGTAAGGTACCTGTGAAAAAAAAAAAGTGTGTGATTTTAACCAGGATTTTTCGACATATTTGATGCCCTAAATATGTGAGATATCCATGCTTAAATTGAATTTATAAACATTTTTGCACAAACAGCGTGTAATGTAATGTATTTTTTATTTAATGCCATGTCAGCAACCAAGGCTATCTTCATAGCAGGAATCTTTCAACAAGAAATATACAATTTAAAAATCAACAAACAAAATAAAACATAAATTAAATAAGATTTTTAGTGTTAATACATGATAAAAATTCTAAAATCTTTTCTGGTTTCACTTTGTCAAAAAATGTCCTTAAAAGAGTTCATTTCATAAAAAGTCCTTCTGGAATCAGTAAAAGCAGGACAGTCCAGTACAATATGTTTTACAGTAAGAGGAGATTTGCAGCACAAACACTGAGTAGGGTTTTCACCTTGGAGCAAAAAACTATGTGTTATTCTCGTATGCCCAATACAACATCTGGTAAAAACTACTTGATCAAATCGATTCTTAAAATGTCTTAAAATTCTGTGTGAAACTTCAGGTTGGATTTCATATAATTTATTGTTTTCTAATGCATCCCATTCCTTTTGCCACTTGTTTAAAATGTAAGCGTTGATAAAAGGTTTCATCTCTCACGGAGGAATTTGGCATTTGTTCACTACTTGCTTCAAAGCATCTTTAGCAGCTGCATCAGCTCGCTCACTGCCTAAAAGTCAAACATGTCCTGGATATATATAAAATAATTATGTTTTTATTCTAATGAGACGTTTATAAAATGCAAAAAATACTGCATTATTCATTCAGATTAAGTCTATTTATTTATTTATATGAAGTAAATTAAGAAATAACCCATGACAACTTTAATGTAATAAAGACTCAGTCAAAAATATACATTTTGCTGCTTGTTTAACCTGCTTAAGTGACCTGAGCTCAAACAACACAATTCTTGAGATTTTTTGGGACAACTATTTGTGTTTGGACAACCTAAATGAATTTCGTGGATCCCTGCACTTTTTTTACAGTACATTTAGTATATTTACCTTTAACCCACAGTTAAATTCATTTTTTGGCTCTTCATAACAAAAAGTTTGGGCACCCCTGATTTTGGATATTACTTTAATATCGTAAGGTTATATAGTAGTATTTTAAGCAATCACATGGTTTTATTAATCAGTATATTTACTAGAACTATGTTCAGCTGCTTTGACACAATCCAAAAATTAAAAAGCGCTTCATAAATATTAATTGAAACTTGAACTGAACATGAATAAACATGAATTGAATTGTATAAAACCAAATTATTCAGTATTCAGATGTATGTTTAAAACTAATAATTGCTCAATTTGCTTATTCAAAACACCTTAAAACACAAAATAATTATCTTAGTATTATCTTACTATTAATCAGCAGGTAAAATATTTGACTTTTAAGCACTTATTTCAGTATTATGTTAACTCCATTGCATCAAATTGTCATTCTGTTAGCATTGGCCTGCACCTTAGTACTTTAAGACTAAATATAGACGATAAAGTTTGACATCTAAATGAAATTAAAGCAAACTCTGAACAAATAAATAAACATGAAACCTCAAACTCCTTCAATGATGTGAGATTTGGAGAAAGTTTAACGGAGCTTGTCAAAGTTCAGTCCAGTCAGATTTAAACAGTATCAACAATAAACTTCAGCAGCAGATTAATAAACGATACTATATGCCACATGTATTTTATAACACATACTGATTCAGAATTACTTCCAAAAGACTAACGTTAGCAGTAAATTAATCTTGATTATCGTGCTAATGAATTAGCCGCTAACAACAGTAACGTAAACAAACCAAACGCCAAAGAAACACTGTGATAAACTGCTGACTTTTTATAATCTGCACACTGTTAAATAAACACTTTCAAACGCATGGCATGAGCACATCCCGCTGCGTGAGTAAAGGCATGTAAACATGAGTTAGCATCATTAGCATGCTAAAGAGTTAGCCGATGGCACAGAGTATAGACTCACCAGCCCTCTTTAATAAGCGCCGAGCTTAAATCGCACATCTTCACACACGCTGCAGAGTTTGTACGCAATCGCTGTCTAAAATCTCACTAAGACACCATTGTGTGTTACTCGGGATTCATTTCTGCATCGTTAGCTGAAGCTGCAGCTGGACAAAGACAGATGACGTCACGCGCAAACTTCTGACGCTTCACGGGTCAAAGTGGAGCGCGCTGATGACGTTGATGCACGTGATCAGATAAAACGTGCATTTCGCCAGCTTCATCTCATTTATTCTGGTTTTGTAATTATTTGGGATCCTTTTTTGAATAACACTTGATTATTGTAATTAATAATATCAATATCTATGAATATTAATATTTATTTAGTATTCTGTTGAAACTTTTTTGTATTGAAAAACTAGGTTAAAAATGAAAAAAAAAACAAGATTTATTTTACTTTTTAAACAATTTATTTAGGGTAAAATCTCGCTAATTCTTGTCCTGTCATTATTTAAGATAATTTCAGAAAAATGCTGGCATTTTGTTATTAATAACCGGCAGCTAGCTCTCTGCAGCTCTCGCACGGTCGCACACTAAAGCTGAGCAGGGATGTGTCTGGTCAGTACCTGGATGGTAGACCAAATGGGAAAGCTCAGGCATGTTTTGCACTCACACAAGCGTACCGTGCCAAAGCCCAAGTGAACCGTTCTCTGGCACACCTCTTCCAACCGGGCCAGGGCCGGCCAAGTGAACTGTGCCTGAGCCTGATTCAGAGTACTTACACTTCTCAAATGATCAGGGAAACGGCCCTGGGCATGGTTCGGATAGCATAGTGTGAGTAGACCCTGAGTGTCTAGAAAAGCATTATTTAAATGTAATGAATTTTTATTATTATTACTATTATTAGTAGTAGTAGTATTATAGTGCCACAACTTTCATGCACATCATTATGTACCACCTTTTGCAGCTATTCCAACAACCAGTATTTGAAAAAAAAAAAAGAAAAAAAAACTGTTGCTTCCAACATCCACAACTGCAATCTGACATAAACGTACAAAGTAATGATCTCATGACGTATTATTGTAGGAAGCCAAAAATCCCTTGATTAATAAAGGGACTAAGCCGAAAATAAAATGAATTAATGAATGTACTGAAAAACATCTTGGAGCAGCATGGTGGCTCAGTGGTCAGCACTGTCACCTCACAGCAAGAAGGTCGCTGGTTCGAGTTCTGGCTGGCTCAGTTGTTTTTGTGTGGAGTTTGCATGTTCTTCCCGTGTTGGCGTGGGTTTCCTCAGGGTGCTCCGGTTTCCCCCACAGTCCAAACACATGTAGGGGAATTGAATAAACTAAATTGTCCGTAGTGTATGAGTATGTGTGTGAACGAGTGTATATGGGTGATTCCCAGTGCTGCGTTGCAGCTTGAAAATCATCCGCTGTGTAAAACATATGCTGGAATAATTGGCACTTCATTGTGCTCTGGTGACCACTGATGAATAAAGGGACTAAAGTCGAAGTGAATGAAAGATTAATGAAAAACATCTCACCAGTTAAATAATAATAAAATAACAGTTCAGTTTTAAACAGCATTATATTTGATCAAACGCGACAGTAAAGACATTTTAAAATCTACATTTTTACATATTAAATTAAAGTTTCAATTGAATGTTTTGTTAATCAGAATCCTCCAAAATCTGTTCATGAAGCTGTTTTCAGATGAAACTGATGCTTTAACTATTGTCACCTAAACAAAATTAAACATTTAATTTTGTGACTTTCTCTGAAGCTCACTCAGTTCCAGAAAATGTAAAAATAACCCCTAAGATTTCTTTAAAATGTCAAAGGTTAAATGGATCGGACGTCTCAACTAAGCAGGGAAATGAAAACGGAAAACATCTTCCTCTATTTACAGTAGTTTCATTTTCCTATAAAGAGAGGATTTTCTTTGTCTTCACAACAAATTCCCATAAATGTAAAGTCATTTTACTACCACTATACTACTCCTTCTACTACTATACTACTCCTTCTACCACTATACTACTCCTTCTACTACTATACTACTCCTTCTACCACTATACTACTCCTTCTACTACTATACTACTCCTTCTACTACTATACTACTCCTTCTACCACTATACTACTCCTTCTACCACTATACTACTCCTTCTACTACTATACTACTCCTTCTACTACTATACTACTCCTTCTACTACTATACTACTCCTTCTACCACTATACTACTCCTTCTACTACTATACTACTCCTTCTACCACTATACTACTCCTTCTACCACTATACTACTCCTTCTACTACTATACTACTCCTTCTACTACTATACTACTCCTTCTACTACTATACTACTCCTTTTACTACTATACTACTCCTTCTACTACTATACTACTCCTTCTACTACTATACTACTCCTTCTACCACTATACTACTCCTTCTACTACTATACTACTCCTTCTACCACTATACTACTCCTTCTACTACTATACTACTCCTTCTACTACTATACTACTCCTTTTACTACTATACTACTCCTTCTACTACTATACTACTCCTTCTACCACTATACTACTCCTTCTACTACTATACTACTCCTTTTACTACTATACTACTCCTTCTACTACTATACTACTCCTACTACTACTACTACTACTAATAATAATAATAATAATAATAATTTTCTTTTCAGCTTAGTCCGATTTGATTTTAAATTCACTTTATTGTGATGTTACTAAAAAGTTGTCATAAATTAATATTTCCTCAATTCAAATGAGTAGTGGCTTTGACCCAGAGTTTGCGGCTTCCACTCAATGGATTGTTTTTTTGACAGCACCTCAGCTTCTCAACAAATCTTTTGACCAATCAAATGCTCTCTAGTATATGACATGCCCCACCCCATTCTTCTCATTGGCTTTTTATTTGCTGCACTTGAGCTCAACCACTCTTACCGGCACAGCTGTGAGAAAAAGAAAACACTATTGGCTGTTGTTGTTTTCAATGTGTGTGTGTGTGTGTGTGTGTGTGGGGGGGGGGGGGTAAGTAAGTAAGTAAAGTTTAATTATAAAGCACATTTACTTCAGTTTGGCACTGACCAAAGTGCTGAACAAAACCATAGCACACACTCTAAAAGAGTAAAAGATAACAATAAAAGTAATAAAAGTATTACAGCAACAACCACAATAAAGATTAAAAGCCTGGGAATGCAATAGAATAAAAAAATGTCTTAAGTCTGGACTTAAAAATAGAGAGAGAAGAAGCACTTGTAATATCCGGTGGCAGCTGGTTCCACAAACGAGGAGCAGCGACTGCAAAGGCTCTATCCCCTTTCAATTTAAGTCGTGACCGAGGAATTTGAAGTAAAATTTTATTTGAGGACCTAAGAGACTGAGAAGTTGACTGTAAGTTAATAAGCTCTGATATATAAGAAGGTGCTTGCCCATTCAGTGCTTTAAAAACAATAAGTAAAATCTTGAACTGAATTCTAAAATTAACAGGAAGCGAATGAAGAGATGCTAAAACTGGTGAGATATGAGCATGTTTTTTTCAAAGCACTTTCACAGGACCTTCAAGCAAAAAAACCTGGATTAATCTTATATGTCCAGTCATGTGGTCTGGTGGCGGGAGAGAAAAGGTTCAGGTGATCTCAGGAGAGATCTGAGAGATTTTTAGTTATAGTTTGTATAATAGTGAATCAGCAATCTGTGTGCGAATGCGAAGATCGTTCCACCATTGAGGAACAGGGAATGAAAAGGTTTTGGAAAGTGACTTACAGCCTGTCAGTGATAGTACCACAAGGTGGCGCTCGCTCACAAAAGCATCATTGATTTGGACTTGTTCTGAGCCATGACCTGTAACAAACGCAGAACGACGTGTTCAGTCAATACGAGACTACAGGAGTGTAAGAGAATAAACACACATACAGTCTGCTAATCACTGCAAACAATATGTTGCACTTTTTATTTGTATGTTCTTCTGGTCTTTATGAAATCAAATACAAATAAAGAATCGTTATTTTTTGGGTGTGAGCGAAGCAGTGGTGCAGTGGGTAGTGCTGTCGCCTCACAGCACAAAGGTCGCTGGTTTGATCCTCGGCTTAGTTGGCATTTCTGTGTGGAGTTTGCATGTTTTCCCTGCGTTTGCATGGGTTTCCTCCGGGTGCTCCGGTTTCCCCCACTGTCCAAAGACATACGGTACAGGTGAATTGGGTAGGCTAAATTGTTCGTTGTGTGTGTGAATGTGTGTGTGGATGTTTCCCAGAGATGGGTTGCGGTTGGAAGAGCATCCGCTGCGTAAAAACTTGCTGGATAAGTTGGCAGTGTGTGTGTTGTATATTTCTTTCTCAAGAAGATGCTCAAGGAGACTTTTTTTGTTTCAGATTGGATATTCAGATGTTATTCTTTAATAAATAATGACACAAATGATAATAAATGATATATAATTCCAGTCATAGTTGGTGTTTTTATTAAACACCAAATGTTTGGGGGTTTCTTTAAGTTTTATGAGCATTCGGCTCTGTGTGGGAACCAAAGAAGGGGTTTCTACATTTCAAGATGCTCAAACTAGACTTTTTTTGTTTGGATATGATAAAATCCCTAATGAATGACATCACATATGACATATATTCCAGTCACAGTTTGTGTTTTATTAAACACCAAATGTTTGGGGGTTTCTTTAACTTTAAGTGTGGGAACCAAAGTGTTGAACTAAAACCACTGATGAACTTCTCTATTTTGGCTCTCACTTTCAGTTGATGCCCATCTCTGACTGCATAAATAAGGAGGAGAACTACTGACCCAAACACAGACACGACTCTCACCAAAGACTTGCTGAGACTGAAGAGCTGAGACCCCTCGAAATGTCGAAGATCACCAAACGCTCCCATCATAAGGAAAATGGTAAGTTTACTGTAATAATCACTCTACCTTAGTGTTATTTGTTCACTTGTGTCGTGTTTTTCAACTGTGATAACAGAAGTTTGCTTTTTTCCCAAACATCCACTGTATAGAATATGCCAATATTTTTTCTTTATTAATGCAAAATATGTGTTAAATGTATTCAATATATACATCCCAACCATTTGGGTTAAAAAGTGCCATTTAAATTAACTAAAAAATAACACAATGTTGGGTTTGTTTATATTTCAGCCAGGACTCGAACCAGCGTCCGTCCTGTGAGGTTACAGTGTTAACCACTGAGCCACCATGTCGCCCA